CAATGCAACATGATTTAAGTGTAGAGTACTTTTTGAATGATGTCTTTTCAAATAAGATACTTTTTCAGCCTTTTGCATGTCTATTTATCTTTTTAAGGGCAACGCAAAATGAGAGCTCACACTTTCTAATTATCATCTGAAGTATATGCCAAAGTTTTTCAGAGGCTGCTTGTGACAAACCAAAATAACCGATCTCATTTTCACACCTCTTCTCGGTCACATGCCATCGCAGAAGAGGAAGGAAGGAGACGGACGAGCCAGAGGCTTCAACAAACAACATCCTTATCTGCAACATCACCACCAGTCTGTTTACCATGCATACAATGTGAACTATATGAGGGCAGGTATAGGGGACTTTTCAACACTTCTAATTTAATCTTAGAGCTGTATTTGTATTTGTATTTAGAGTAGTTATGAATTGTTTTTTTCTGTAGTTACCCACATTACACACGGAATCATTGGCTTCTAGTCTACTGAAATAGAAGTAAACGTATAGTTTGACTTCCAGACAGTTAGTTCTGTAGTTTGTATACAATCCTCGCCACTCTGTAAACTGTAGCCCAGATGAAGCAACGGGCAAAATGCATTGCTCATGATAATGTTACTAAAGGAACTAAAGGATGGCATATTTATATGGGCTCAGTGTCCGGTCAGTGTCACTACCACAAACATTTGAGGCTTATTTTTTCCGAGTATTGACACTTGCTGTTGCCAGTAACTCTTGTCCGATATGGTGCATGCTCTGTGGGGCACACTCTTCTTCTTTTTCAAAAAACATGACAAGCCTTTTAGAGTAGGCGTTGCACATATTGAGAGAGATATTTGTGGTTAAAAGATCTTAATCAAAGGATGTATGTGATGTATCTGAACACTTACACTGTGATTCTCTTAGCTTAGAAGTGTCACACTTAGGAGTGCATCAGTTAGCAGAAGGGGAACATATGGCTGATATAGTACTGTGTCAGTTCGCAGGCTATTTGTAACAGTTACTTCTCTCTGAAAACAAATGTATCTACCAGATTCCTTTGTGCTGCATGTGACTAGAGAGTGCTGTTCAAATGCTTATCCTTTTTATCAGATTAAATTGCAGTCTCTTTTCACATTCCTCGATCTCAAGTCTCAAGGAAATACTACAACCTAGTACTACAGACAAACATGAAATGCATTTCATGCCATTGTGTGACATTCAGTGTCGGACATGCAGGTGCACACTACCAGCATGCATTGCATTACTGCAACGTGTAGTCTCCGTTTGATCACATTCAGTAACAACAAGCATAACTTCTTTATAGTATATGCAGTTTGAAAATTTGAGCTTCAGGCTGAACGGAACGGCAACAGCAGTGGTGGAAGAAGTACTAAGTATCAGTAGAACAATAAAAAAATACTCAATTTGTTGATTGTCTGAAAAATTAGAAATAAAATTTTGAACAATACATTGTTTTTTTTATAACCTTGGGCTTTTTTTTATACATACACCTGTCAAACAAATATCATTGATTAAACATCTAGCTGATATTTTCCTCTGAAATGTAGTGAAACTGAAGTATAACATGGTGTAAATGAATAATAAAAGAAAAGGAAAGGAAAGTACCTCAAAATTGGTACTATACACTTTGTTACTTTCTTCCAATACCGTGCAGTGATCCCATATTGCATGACATTCAACTGTGGATTGGGAAAATAATAAAAATGATGCCTAAGAAAATGGAAGAAAATTACTGTTGTTGTAACCTGGTGCACATAAGGTACAACAATGTGCAGATGCAGCAAGCACCAGCAGATGTCGGTTTATTAGCTTGTGTGGTGGCTACTTTGCAATTAATAATACTTCTATAATCTTTCCATGCCTCTCAGTTGTTAGAGTGTTCATCTCCACCCCCTACTTTCTGAACTAATGAGACTTTACTAGCCTAAAGCTCTAATTATCCCCAACTCTGGTCATCTCCAGCAGCACAGGCAATTAATAACAAGCAGATCCACTTCACATGGTTCAACAAAAGCAGAGTGAGGGGGACACTGGGAGGCTATACTGAAATACTTAAAGCAGGTGTAATGGGGATAACAGAGATAAGAAATGGGTGACGTAAGAGTTTAGCAAAGTCTGCAAGCTTTTGGCTTGTGGTCAACAGTTGGGCCAATGTACTCCCCCCCCTCCCCAGTCTCACAGACCACCAGCTAAAGAGAAAGACTTTAGCTAAGATCTGTCTGGCAGACAGAGAAGGGGATTTCAGCACCAAATCCAGGGATCAATAAAAAAATGTCTGCTAATTAGGCTGGCTGGAAAAGGAGGGGTGATAGGATGAGAGGGAGACAGAGAGAGAGGATAGAAAACAAATATCAGAAGAGCCAGTGCTGATTCAGAAGTCCAGACAGACAAAGAAACTCTCCAGACAGGTGTGCCTACTTGGAAATCAGGTGAAGTACGCTAGGTGACACTGCGCCTTGCTCTTTGGGTCAATCCGACACAGTCTTTCCAGAAATCAAGCTCTCTCTTACCCAGGCTGAAGCAACCTCCCATGCAACAGCGATCAGTTTCTCTGACCCGAATCCTTGGTTGTCCTCCTCCCACCTTTTCTTTGCCCTCCTCCTTTATGCTGCCCCTCCTTCTTCCTTCCTCTGGACATCACCACTTTGACCTAAATCTCCTCATTTAATCTTCTTCTTCTTCTCGTCTTCTGGATAACAATCAGCCCCCTAATTGACTTAATCTCACTGGTCCTTTTTATTGTTTCCACGGCGTCCTGCACACCGCAGAAAAAAAAAAACCCACATTAACCACAGATCAATACCTGGCATCAGACTGCAACGACCACCATGGTTTTTATATTGATTATCACTAATCTAAGGTTGGCTGTGCTGCTGTTTTTATTTAATAAAAATATGGTGGTGCATAAACATTCAAAAACAATGTTTGTTGATTGTCAAGGGGAAAAAAACGAGTATTTTGTTTTAGTGACAGGGCCTGAAATTATGGTAATGAGAAATAAACTAAAACATGTAACAATGAAGTTCATCATTCAAATTAGTGTGTTGTCACTCAGTGTTTGTTCATAGAGAAACAGAAATAAAGGATCATATATTTCACAGTCAGAAATTGCGAGAAAAATATTAACATTTTTGGCAACCACAAATTAAATCCTGCTGGAAAGCAGCCGCAGGAGCCAGCAGTTGTAAACATGTTCTTCAAATCTCCCCCAAGCCTTTTGTTATGCTTTCTCAATAAAATCTCAAATCTGTATATTGCCAATTGGTAAAATGTAAAGCTTATGGAATACAATTCGCAGTTATGTTACAATATGGATGTGAGCTCAGAGCCAAAGATATTGGCGTCAGAGCAGCGGTAAGCCCAGGATTAGGCTAAGGTTAGGAGGTGGTTTGTGTACGATTGTATAAGGACAACTGGGACGATAAGCTAAATATTCAGAACAATAATGGATTAAATGTTTCAGTGGCTGCACTCTACACCATCTGTTGGGGAGCAGGATGGGGGTGAACAAACACTCGTGTTTGTATATTTTTATATGTTTACATTTGGAGGATTTTTTTTTTTTTTTTTTTTTTTTATTTTTTCCATTCACAAAACACAAATATGGGTATCTGTGACTTTGCTATTGCTGGTTGCTATACACACAGAACATGACTTTTCTTCTTCTTTACACATTCTTTAGAAAGCATTTTTCCTTTAAAGCTGCCAGTAATTTACACACCTTTATTCACAGATGTTATCACCCCAACCTTTCTTACTTATGACAACATCAACGGCTCAAGCCCTCCCTCTTCCTCTCCTCTGTCCCTCTCTCTCAGTGGGTGAGTCTGGAGAATCACAGCTTTCAGATGACACTGTCTGACTCTGTTTTCCTGTAAGTCGTCAGGGCTAATCTGATTTCTCTGTCTTCACAGATTGGCAAACTACCTGGATCTCTCCAGCCAATTAGTGCCCATCTGCGCAGCACTTCATGCAGGCTGGGCCAAATCGAGCCTCTGTAGGAGCCCAGCCAGCCTAGTCGGGCCGCTGCAGAGCTCAGTGATGGCTCAGGCTGTCTGGGGCTCCAAATATCTGCTTCCATTAACAGCCCATCTGCCTGTGGCTTTGTCTGGGCCACTTTCATCCCCAATGGCCCTAAAGATTATGGATCCTCCATAGATATTACTGCCAATTAAACCACATTTTACCACAGAGTTGTTCTGTAATTACCAAAGCCATGATTCATTACTGGGTTAAGTTGGCCACTTTAGCACTAAGCTGTGTCTTTTTAGAACAATGTTGCTTTTCCACATTGTAAAATACTAAGAAATTTGTCATCATAGACAATTTCGGGCAATTGCAGCATAATATGTAGCAAAGAGAACGGATTATGTAAAAAAATGTTAACTGGTTAAAGTTTTAAAAATGTTTCGTCACATGGTGATTTTATCACAAAATGAATTTTGAGTATTATTAAATATATTCTTAGATATACATTGTACTATCAGCATTGTAAACACTATTAATGACCTATCCACCGTGGATCAAATATCATTTTGTTTTATAGCCTATGAAAAGGTTCAAAGCTTTTATAAATTTTTTAATTTAATGAATCTGTACTCTGTTTATATTTTGTCTCTTACTTTTTAATAGAAATTGTATTGGCTTTACCAGTATAAACTATAGAAATGACATTTGTATTAGATAGTGTCATGTAAAATCATTATATACACATACTACCATTAAACAGAGGTAAACAGACTGAAACAAGGTCAACAGCCTTCTAATGGCTTATTTTCTCATCAAACCAGTCTCACTTAATCACCTTTGCTAAATTAGTTTGATAGTAGTCCCTCCCCGTCCTTCATCTTTCCTCTCCTTTCCTCCCCATTTTCTTGCTAGTTGTTTTCACATCTTTTTGGATTAGGGAGATTATAGATCCGAAACTCTGTTTTTGTTGTTTCTCTCTCTGTGTTTTAGTCCTAGTCCCTCCACCATGGGGGGTATTAATCCAGGATGTACACTGTCTCAACATGTTGCTTAAACTTCAAACCTGATACAGCTAGTGAAACAACACAAACAATGAATCCAGTGAAATGACAAGGGTATATGGTATGAGGCAAAGCTAACACTATTTACCTTCTGAACAACTGGAACAATGCCGGGTTTCTCAGGAAATAAGTGAAGCGCAAATACTGTATGTAACTATACAGAACCGTTCCATGAGATAGAGAATTATTTTCAGTGGTCATGTGATGGGAGGCAGGTGGTGGTACACACCTTCAACTGCAAACATCTTGCACCTTTGTTTTAGCACTGAAAACTGTGGATGTTCCCTAACACAAGAACACAGTGTGCTTGTGGTTTAGGTATTGTACAATATGTGTCATTTTGTGTTTACTGCCAATTGCACAATGCAGGTGTCATCACTGACACAAGCAGAGGTAGGGCTGTAGCTTTTGTTGTCAGAAGACTGTGCTACTAGTAGTGACTTCGTTTACTGTCAGAAGTGCTAGGCTACCTCCTGGAAAGAAAACAGAAAGGGAGAAAAACAGGAAGATAAATAACATGTTTATTATTTCAGTCTCAACTCAGTAGTAAGAAATACCCTTTTGTGAGAGCTGTACAACTGAAATCAATTAGCTGATTAATCAACTGGCTACAAATAATCAATTTTGATCATCAAAATTTGCAAGTTCTACAAGTTTCAGATTCTCAAATGTGAGGAGTTAACTGCTCTGCTTTGGTTTTATATAATTGTACATGAGCTATCTTTGGACCTTGGGCTGATGGTCAGACACAAAAATAGCAATTTGAAAACCTGGAATTTGAGATTTTGCCCCCCCCCCACACACACACACACTTTTTTGGATGTAAACTAAATGATTAGTCTGTTATACAAAATTAATTAACCTCTTACAAAAGATTAATTAATAATCAGAGCTTACAGAATTTGAAAGGTCTGTAAAGTCATGGGTATAACAATGTCATCATTCTGATCCCAAGACACTAAACAGCACCGGTGCTTTCAAAGTGATTCAGTGCATATGACTCCCCAGGTTGCAGTTTTCAGTGTCAGACAGTGAAAAAACTTCCTCTTGTTTCACGGGTCTTGAGCATCTCTGGATATTACCAGGCAGTGTCCTGTAGTGGGTTCAACGTGCGCTCTGATGTGGCTTTTGCCTTGTATTTCATTTAGTTACGTTTTAAGTTAATTTTTGTGGTGGGGGATATTTACAAAAATGTGCACAACGTCTTCTATTACTTGCTCTGAACTCGTGACGCATTATCTCCTGAGGAACATGCCCAGACGCGTGCGTGCGTATGTGAGCGAGGGAGCGAGCGAGCGAGAGGGGTGGGGGTGCAAAACACTTTCACTTTCACTTCAGGGCTCTACTAATTTTGTCGGGACGTTGCATTTAGTCCGGTAAAAAAGAAAAACAAAGTGGGCTCGTGTCCTAATCTAAAGGGAAACAAACCAACACTGTAGGATGGCATTTAAGTACCCGGCTGCCCGTAGAGATGAGTGCAAGGTCAGTGCCATATTCCCGTGTGCTTTTATTTTGTCTCTCTCTGTCACTCGGTGAATTTCTGTGGTGCACGAGACCAGGAAGAAGAAAGACAGGTCATAAATGGGTGGAGGGGTAGAAAACCAAATGACGAATGAATGGAGAAACAAAAACAAAACTTTAAAAACAACTGAAGGCCTGCAAGTGGAGTGGTGTATTAGTCACACGAATTTGCTAACGTTATGTGCACGAGTTACAGTAACACCAACAGCCCACGAAACAACGCCCCGGGGGAACAAAATGCTACAATATTAATACAGACGTTACATTACGGTAATATGCACCAACTGCTGTATAATAACATATCCTAATACTAGGCCCATATGTAATAACCCAGCTAATTTCATTGTGGTGTGTTTTATTGTGACCACTCCTCTGCTAAATTTAGTTGCCCTGCATTCGGTGTGTACAGGGCAGTAGCCAGGATTTCAACAGTACTTAGGGTCATAACCCCTGATTTATACCTCACCCCACCCCACCTCAATAATGCTCCATAAGACTTTTTCAGTTAGGCAGGAAATTAAGTTTATGCTTTCTGCAAATGCTATCTCCTAACATGATAACTTAAACCGTGTTTCCAAGCCAAACACATCCATCAATTTTATAGAGCTTAAATGAATGAGAGGGACCTGACCGCAGACAAGATGGCGGATTGCGACCAAGATTTACCTCGCCCCGAAGTTGGTAACTTTTCCCAGAAGTTGTGCTATGGTTAACATGAATCTCTAATTCTAATCCTAACAATAAAACCGTCAAGGTAAACAACTTCCAGCTAAAGTTCCCGCCGAGCGCAGCATATATGGTACTGTGTTTGAAACTTGTTCTTTTGCCTCGGTATAAATTCACCATTTTAATGAGTGATCTTTTAGAGCAGGGGTATCTTCCAGCTTCTGACTGGCTGAACACACCTGAGCCAGGTAATCAGCAGTAGGTCAGGCAGGGATAGTTGGAAAACAAGCAGGACAGTGGTCCTTGAGGACTGGAATTTGGTCACCCCTGATTTAGAGAGTAGAATGGCTAAATAAACATTGCCTGAATTGGTGGTGTATCTGTTGAATACTCTACAAAGTTATGTAATACAAAAAGGAAACGTCTTAAAAATGAGGACATATCTAAAAGAGGAACAGAGGAGACCCTCACAACAGTGACTCTACACAGTGTACAGTATGTATGTATTGTAGTGCTGGAGTTGAGAAACACTTGGTGGGGTCTCCCAAAATGCCCGAGGGGAGAAGCACCTGGTGTGGTTCCCCTGTAATGTGCCTCTGGGCAGGAGATATATAGTTCAGGGTTGGTGCTGTTAGGTATTTTCTTAGTTAGGTAGATATTTAGGGATTTGTTGTCTAGAAATGTGTAAGGCAGACAGGATGTCTAGCTCAGGCTGTTGGGTGCTCAGTTCATTGTCATGAGTTCTGCAGGCTGCATCTAGGCCAAGGTCAACTAGATTGAAGAGTCTGCCGGCAGATGAATATTGCTAGTAGCGTGATATGTTCAGCCGTAATCTTAATCATAATATCTTCCGAGGCTTACTGTTCGGACATGTCCCTGAATGTCCTGTATGTTTTTAGATACACACCACTAATCAACAGCCACACACTTTAATTTTCTCCATGTTTTGACTACTGCTCTGGTCAGCTGCTATATTTTTTATATACTCAAGTGGTCCGCTTCGTCTCACTGAGTTCCTGGTTTGAAAGAACCGGACGTGGCTTTATAATAGAGTAGAGCCTATAGTGGGATTTTTAAGAGTGCGTTCAGTGTGTTCTGTGTTGCTGTGTGTTCAATAAAATAGCAGCCTAACACAGCACAAACAGACAAGATGTGCCTGTGACTCCTTCAACCCGGCCACCGTTACAGTATGTACTCTCAAAACAACCAGTCACAACCATCATAATGAGACTATAGCGTGGGCCACACAAGCCGTTTTAACATGCTCTATAAGAGAAAAACAAACATCTGTATCAATGTCCTTTACCAAATATTGCTATTCTCCGCTGCTGCCTCAAAAAATAACCATCATGTTACGTTAGCAAATCCAACATTCTTGCCTTTTAACTCAGATTGTGCTGTATGATGCCAAACTAAGGTGAAATTCTCAGGAGTAATAATGCAGGGTTTCTCAGGAAATTGGACACAGCTCTTGCCATAATAATCCAAATGTCCTTAGGGTATGTCATTCGCCAGTACATAAATTGGTCTGTTTCACCACAAGCCACAGTGATGTGGACTGGACTTTGGTGTCTAAATGGAAAATGGCCTTATTTCTTCGAAGTGCTCATATACCAAGACTGTTAACAATTTTTTAGCATGGTAATATCTAAGCTTAATGTTAATCATCTAAGCCTTAAAGTTGTTAACAAGTCTCAATGGGTTAATAGAAAACTAATGGAAAATGATTTCTCACTACAGTTATTGGAAACAAGTAGTAGAACACTGACCAGGTGCCTCTTATGGACTGAATGGACACGTTACCTGTATGTGTTGGGCACTTGTACTCCAGTCTGCTTATTGGTGCATCAAGGTCGGTGTTTGAAAAGCACCTAAATGTACATTCCACTGCTGACAAACAACAAGCTAATATGTCAAACATTAATGCCACATTTGGCATTTAGAAGTACAGATTTTCTGCAGTTCCACTAAAAATGTTGAAGGGAAGTTACAACCATGTTATTGCACAAGAGAATCCTCTTTGTCAATAATATTGTTTGAATGCAAAACATTAAACACAGTTGTTGTTTGTTCCTGTTAAACTTATATTTCTTTGCGACAGGTGGATGACTACCATGGCAATAAGATCTGTGATCCATATGCATGGCTGGAAGATCCTGATAGTGCAGAAACAATGGTATCTGATGATTTCTTGCAGAAAGCTGAAGCTGTGTTTATCACAAACATTCTAAATTTCATCACTCCTCACTTTTTGTATCACAGGCCTTTGTTGAAGAGCAAAACAAACTGACCATGCCATACCTGGAGCAGTGCTCTGTCCGGGCTCAGTTCCACCAGCGCCTCACTGAGCTCTATGACTATCCCAAATACAGCTGCCCTTACAAAAGGGGGACAAGGTATTAGTTGACATGTAATGGAAAGACACTGCACAGACTGATAAATGACTTCTCTTCTGAGAGGAACTCACCTGAACTGTAGGTCTCAAGTCACAAAAATGCTTGCAGTGACTACTTCCTGTTTTTATGTTTAGATATTTCTACTTTCACAACAAAGGCCTCCAGAACCAGGATGTGCTGTATGTGCAGGACTCTCTGGATGCACCTGCCTCCGTCTTCTTTGACCCAAATACACTCTCTGACGATGGCACCGTGGCACTGAAAAGTGAGCTACACTGCAGAACACTTCACAGTGTACACAATCTCACCTATACACAGATAAGTAGGACAAGATCTAAAGTGCTGACTGCCTTCTTTCCTTTATCCCTCTCTCCATCCAGTGGGTCGTCTATCGGAGGAGTGTGAATATTTTGCGTATGGTCTGAGTAGCAGTGGCTCAGACTGGGTGACAGTACATTTCATGAAAGCTGATGACCTCACGCCACTGCCTGATGTACTGGAGAGGGTTAAATTTAGTTGCCTGGCCTGGACTCACGATGCAAAGGGCATCTTTTACAACTGCTACCCAAGCCAGGAAGGCAAATCAGATGGTTAGGAAGAGACACCATGCGCTCAGGCGCCAATACAACAATTTACATAATTCATTAACCTCTAGAGTCCCTGCGTCCTCATATGAGGACCGCACAGCTTGGGTTTCCAAAGCTCAGGACTCTAGAGGTTAAAAATATATTCAATTAAATTTAATTCAGTTTTATTTGTATAGCGCCAAATCACAACAAAAGTCATCTTAAGACACTTTACAAAGAATGTCTAGACCATACCATTACTATTATTATATTTATAATTATCAAGGCTTAACCCCTGAAACATCTGTATTTTGCTTAAGGCACAGAGACCACCTGCAACATCAATCAGAAGCTCTACTACCACGTGCTTGGCACCAAACAGTCAGAGGACATTCTGGTTGCAGAGTTCCCTGACAATCCAAAGTGGCAAAGCTCAGTAACTGTAAGTCTGTAGTAATCTTGACCTGCCTGGGTAGTTAAGATGAGTGTGTCATGGCTGTCTATAGGAGCTGAGAGCAATTCTGAATCTGTTATACCAAATGCTATGTTCACATAATCAGGCCTTTCTCTCCTTCCTACCTATATTCATATTCCAGATTTCTGATGATGGAAGATATGCTATTATGTCCATCACTGAAGGCTGCGAGCCTGTCAACCAGCTGTGGTATTGTGACCTTCAGCAGCTCCCCAGTGGCATCACAGGTCAAAAGTTTTGCCTTCATCTTACGTTCTATGATTGGAGCACTTCATAAAACCAACCAGAAACAATTCTCACATTTTTTTGCATGGGGTTTGCATGTACTGAGTGAGATTTGAGGTTTGCATTGAGATATTTGTACTGGATCTATGTGAAATGATGTTAAAGTGATGTAAGACCAGCCTTGAACTAGATTTTCAAAGTGAAAATTTGCAAGCATGGATCCCCAATGTGAATGAGATTGGTAGTTTTTCTGTTATGTGTGCAAATCTAAAAAGTCCTAACCCAAAGATATTTAGTTTACAGTGGTACATGATGAAGAAATACAGCAAAATCTCTTTTTTTTTTTTTTTTTGCAGAAGCTCGAAGCACAGAATGCTCCTTGGAAATTTACCTAAACGATCAATAAATTATCAAAACAGTTGGCTGTAATTTCCTGAATCCTTACTGCTTTAATAACAATTACTAGCGGTACAGGGGCTACAGCAAGAAAATGACCTGTCAAATTTGTGTCTTGTCACTTTCGTACTGGGTTTCTTTTCTCTATATTTTTGTATTTCAATATTGTTAACATATGCAGTATATGAATATATGCCACTTTTATGGCTGCATTAAAAATAGATTACATGCAACTATCAAACATGGATTCAGTGAATTCCTCACCACTTTTTCTGCAGTGCACATTTTCAAGCTGCAGTAGATGATATCTCTATAGCTACATGGCACAAGATGCACTAACTGTTTTGTATCAGTGGAAGAGCAGCTGGTGCCAGTGACTCAGTGGTTACTTCACCATATGCTGAGATTTCAAAAGTCACTTTGTGGCTTGAAAAATATCTTCCAGATAAACAGGAATTTTGACACTTTTCAGAGTATTGTGAAAATGTGTTATTGGTTTTTACAGGCCACTCTAATTTAGGTGGACTGGAGGGGTAGCGGTTTTGGCCTATGCTATGGGTTTAATTGGTTACATTTCCCAGTGGTTAATGATAGAGAGAGAAAAATAACATGGTTTATCTTTTATATTGAGTTTTTTCTAATTTTATTCATCCTCTTCCCTAGGCCTGCTACCATGGGTCAAACTTGTGGACAACTTTGACGCCCAGTACTCTTATATCACTAGTGAAGGAACTGTATTCACATTTCGCTCCAACTTGGATTCTCCTCGGTATTGTGTCATCAACATCGACATCCAGAAACCAGACAGACAGCATTGGACTACCCTCATACCACAGCATGACAAGGATGTCCTGGGTGAGTCTAAATGGAAATTTCACTAGCGTTAACGTCAAAGACAAGATCAGTGATGGAGTCCCTATGTGTTAGTTCTTCACAGGAGAAATATAACGTCAGAGTTCATAGAGCAATTATACCGGTGATTTGTGACAGACGTTCGTGTTAGAGTCTCTGAAACGCCATCAAAGTTTACAAATACGTAAAGGACATAAACTTGGGATCGTAGTTCCACATTTCAGCACCACAGATCTTGCAAAACACCTTTTCATCAAATTTCTGTCCTAATGTTTTCGATGACAGTCTGACCACTACAACTGAAGTTCTGCATCTGTGGTTAAAGATCATCGTCAGAGGGAACTCTGATCAAAAAGTGAAACTTGGTTCATAAGCATTTTGATAAATAAAAAAAAAAACAAAGAAGACAGAGTCATTCAGTTCATGGTAACAGTATCTAGACATCAGTGAGACAAACAGCAATTTCCACTGATTGATCGAAACATCAATGTCCTTCGATGTATTCCCGTCTGACCTGTATACAGCAACAACAGCTGTTTCCATGGTAACATAGTCAGTTTATACAACTCACAGTAGAGAGCTTGTATGATAATATAACATTTCTGCTAATGGTCCATGCACAAGTAATTGGCAGCGTTTTGGCCCTATTGCTAACTGTTAAGAGCGTCTTCTCTCTTCCATAATATGGCTGTTTTGGGCCGGCCCAGCACTTATACCTGTCATAAAATAGGTGCAATATCAGTTCTTTACACCAGAGCTCCTCAAGAGTGTGCCCTCTTGGTGGTGGTTGCTGTCAAACTGTTGAGTATAACATCAGTGACAGCAAGGATAGTCTCTGATTCATCCTTCTTCCCTACATTGTCCTTCTCTCAATACTGACAGCAGTGAAAGGCAAAATCCATATATGGATTGCTGGTTGTTGTGTTCAATAAACACAGTAACCAAGAGAAGGCAGCTTCTGCAGCACCACTGAATTTGCAATAGTCTTGCATTGATTATTGTACAGACATCATTAGTCTGCCCCCTGCTGGCTGATGATGAGGTCAGGTTACAAACATAAGGATTCACAGTCCATACCTGCATTCATTAAATCACTGTGCTCTGTCTATATAGTAATATTCCAGTTAACTGAGTTCATCAGTAAGGTCATCTTCAATCTATAGCAGTTTGTTTGACTTCATCCCAGGATCAAGATAAATGAGGCAACTTAGTAGAGAGGAAACTTAGCAGTAATATGGAAAGGACGACAGACAAGGATACAGTCTGCTTTTAAAATAGTATTTAAAAACAACAGCTACATACCTTTATATTCATTTTTAACTTTCCTCTTTATGCCCTTCTGCAGGCTTTGTCTCCTGTGTGAACCAGCACCACCTGCTGGTCAACTATGTCCATGATGTGAAGGATATCCTGCAGGTGTACGAGCTGTCTACAGGCCAAGTGGTCAGGGACTTGCCACTGGATGTTGGCACAGTGGCTGGTGTGAGCTGCAAGAAGAAACACTCAGAGTTCTTCTACAAGTTCACATCCTTCACTACACCAGGTCAACCTGTCATTTTATAAAGGCAACTTCTGCTACTTGATATAATACATCAACTGTCGGAAAAACTACATTTAAGTGTTAGTTTAAAAAGACCAAATAAAATAGGCCATCTTACTGTAACTGTAGGCCTTACATCATCTAAAAACAACCAAGCAGTTAATAAAATGTCCTGTACATACCATAGCCTAACCCATGTGGCCTTTGGTTTTTGGTACACAGGTATCATTTACCACTGTGATCTCAGTGAGTTGAACCCACAGCCCAGTGTGTTCAGGGAGGTGGAGGTGAAAGGAATCAAGCAAGAGGAATATCAGACAACCCAGGTAGATTCCTCAGTGTTTCGTTGACTTGTCGTCTCCAGTGGTTTGATTTAGTCTTTTTACAGAAATGTATATTAGATTTGGCCAAAATTTTAGCGCCTGAGTTTGATTTAGTCTTTTGACAGAAATGTATATTAGATTTGGCCAAATTGTTATCTTTTGTTAGTTTTAGTCTAGTTTATGTTATTGACATTTTAGTCAAATTTTTGTCCAGAATTTTTAATATTTACATCTTCTAAGCATGTCGAGGCTACAGAGTTTGTGGAAGAGGCTGTTTATTTGTTCACGTAGAGGCTCCATGATGTACAAGATGGATTCATACTCACTTAGACCAAAGCAGTGCCGACTGTGTGTGAGAAGAGAAGCTGACATTTTAGATTTTACTTGTGATAGTAACACAAAAATATCAAACTGATACATTTCATTATAGTCCTTGTTTTCAAAGATTACTTTTTGTTCAGTTTTAGTCTCACTTTTGTTGTTAAAAATAATATTTTTTGTCACAGTGATCGTTGATGAAAATAACACTGACCTTCTCAATTTCTGTAGGCCATATGTCTCCGCTACTCTTTCACTGTGCTGTTATATTCCAGTTTCCATTTCATGTTGCTGTTGTTATGACATCTACATATTTATATACAGGAGCGGATTTTCCACAATTGTATTCAGCATGGTTGAGGAAGTGGTAAATTGTCAGTATGACCAGCTTCTTTTAGACTAACCAAAAAATATTCCTTTTAAAATAATTCACCTACTTATTCTAATATATTTTCAGGTATTTTATCCTAGTAGGGACGGAACTAAGATCCCCATGTTCTTAGTTCATGCTAAGGGCCTAAAGAGGGATGGCACTCATCCTGTTTTCCTTTATGGCTACGGAGGATTTGAGGCGTCCATTCAGCCATACTACAAGTAAGTACAATAAAAGTAAGAGCAATTTTCTGACAAAGGTAAGCAGACACAGATAACCTCTTACAAACTGGTGCCTGTCAGAATAATGGATGTACCAGCAGAACCTAATTGTCCTCGCTAGTTTGGTGCTCTCATGCTATGTGTATCCTCTAGGTTAGGATGTCGTCTGTAGTAGTCATGGCATTGTAAACAAACAAATAAGTCACGGTTTCAGAATAGATATTTTGTTAGTATAGAATTTCCTAAATCTAAAACCACAATTTTTGGGGGAAATTATCATTGTCAAAATGTGTTTCACACAGTGTAAACATACAGTATATTATAGCATTCACCAGTAAGCTTACAGTACATAAGAGTGGGAAGGGAATTTCTGAGTGAAGAGTACATTTCTTTAGATGGCGCGTTAGCTGCAGGCTTGTTCCTGCCACTGCTGTAAACATAGCAGCTACTGACTTGTACAGGGGAAAAAACACTGTAAATGATTGGATGTTGATGTAAATGCATTCATCAGTACATACATGCTTTTATTTCTTGCCTCTGTTTGTTGCCTCGTTCAAGTGTTGCTTACTTGCTATATGTGAGACACCTGGGAGGGATTCTGGCAGTGGCCAACATCAGAGGGGGCGGAGAATACGGCCTCACCTGGCACAAAGGTACAAACATATAACAAGCCAAAAGGCATGAGGAGGCTGTCAGAGAGATAGTGTTACTTTGAAAACATTAAACATGATTTTTGTAGAGTTTAATTTGGCATTGACACAAACTTTACTGTCATGTGTTTGTAGCTGGTACTTTAGGGAACAAGCAGAATTGCTTTGATGACTTCCAGTGTGCAGCAGAGTATCTGATCCAGGAAAAATACACCACCGCCAGCCGCATCGCTATCAACGGAGGCTCTAATGGAGGGCTGCTAGTGGGTAAGTACAGGATCAGCTGTGTGTGTGTTTATGTGTCTATGTAATTACTGGGGAATCTAGTGATAATGCCTGCGGGGAAGAGAGAGCAAGAGAAAACCAAATGGTTTTAAAGGTGTACCCTGCAGCTGTCCATTATGAGGTGCACTCAGGAGTTGAAAATTTTAAGTTAAGGGAACCCTGCCCATTATTTTTTATAACAGAAATCTGGTAATGGAACTTTAGCTCCCCAATTTAACAGCTCAGCTCCAACTTCTGTGCAATTTAACCCATGAGGGCACTAACAGTACACATACTGCACAGCTCCACATTTTTGCAAAAAGACTCACCTCAACCTAAAAGCTGAGATTACTGGTTCATTGTAAGTTTCAGCTGCATTTATCACAATGCTTTAGGTTCTTTATAGTATTGTACATCATTGTCATAATTGCTAATGTCAACTTGATCTAACAGCAGTTATTCGCATAGCTGTAATTAATTTAGCTATTAAACAGCACATTAAACAGTACTTAGTCACACCATTGACCAAAGACTGGCTGCCAAATGGCATGGCATAAACTCAACTAATGCTGCCTTCCTTGGTGTGTACAGTAAGTGGAAGTTTAGAATTGATTGTGTTGAGTGTGAGTGTGTGTTCAGATGCAAATTAAATCTATAACACAAATTTTAAATACACACAGCGGCTTGCGTGAACCAGCGCCCGGACCTGTTCGGCTGCGTTGTGGCAAAAGTGGGGGTGATGGACATGCTGAAGTTCCACAAATTCACCATCGGCCACGCCTGGACCACCGACTACGGCTGTTCTGATGACGCGGAGCAGTTCAAGTGGCTCATCAAGTATGAAACACACACACAAAACATGATAGCTCACTAAAACATTTGCATGAGAATAACATTATAACTGGAAATGCTTTAGGACTGTCATTGTTGCAGTTATAGTTCAGATTTTGGATATTGTGAAATAACATGCAAAATGTTTGTTTTACCACCAGAATTAGAAACACTGATTCTATATGGCAGTAATGTTTTTTTTAATTGGGTGAAAACTAAAATAATAGTGGCAAGTGAGAATTATTGTATAATATAGCCCATCAGGTTTCAGTGCACAACAACTCTTGTGAAGTTCACTGTATAACTGACTCACCTTCAGCTCTCTCTGCAGTTTGCCAGGCAAACTGCTTCTGATGGACATCCATTTCTATTTTGGTATAGCTGCACATGAGAACCGATCCTCCTACTGGATTATTGGTAGCTGCCGAGCGGCACGTCTCTATTTATAGTCGCCATCGTGGCTTGTCCTTTATTTACTCAGTTTTGCAAGATTTTTATCTGCCTGAATCTCAAGACTAAACAAAAATCTCTGCATGTCAGTAACTAGTCATTGTGTGTCAGGCAGTTACTCCTTCAATAATATCAAGATCTGTTCCCAGCTTTACACTCACCCACTTGTCAAAAAGCAGAGTAGTTGGATCACACATTCAGTTCTGGCATCATTCCCTTATTCTCTCTTCTTTTTCTTAACAATAGAGTTTCCTCACATTTTTCTTTCCAAACATCTTTCTTATCCTTTCCTCAGGTATTCTCCTCTTCATAATCTGCCCCAGCCACCTTACTCTGGTCCTCCCTACCCTGCTGTCCTGCTTCTGACAGCAGATCACGATGATCGTGTAGTGCCTCTGCACACCCTGAAGTACTGTGCTGCCTTGCAGTACGGGGTGGGCAGCAGCCATGTGCAGCGTCAGCCTCTGATGGTCAGAGTAGACACCCGTAGCGGGCACGGTGCGGGGAAACCCACTGCCAAAGCCATCTTGGAGGACACACACATCTTTTCCTTCATCGCTGAGACTCTGGGGCTCAGCTGGAAGGAGTGAGGAGAACGTGAAAGAGATTAGGAGATGGAGGGTACAGACAAGCAGCGAGGTTTTTAAATGACTTTTTGAATTTATTATTTTTATGAAAACTGTAGAACTATCCAATTAGATGGAAATGATGGGTTAAACATTTGGGGGGAAGAAGAGCAATGAGAAGAGAATAAGCGAAAGAGGAATGAATGCAGTGCTATGATGAGAGAAAGGTTAAGAAAAATAAGAGTAGGAATATCATATAATATCCAACAACTACAGTATCAAACATCGGATACCTACATTGTAATGCTTCTTTTCAAACAGTTTTTACCTAAACAAATCAAATGTGGTACAAGTTTTTTTTAATTAATGCAAAGTTTGAATTTGAACTTTAAAAGGTTCCAATAATATCTTTATTTATACTATGATTTTGGTCTACCATATTATAATCTGTAGTTTCCTAAATATATAAATAATGCCTTCTAAAGTAGATCTAATGATCTACCTGAAAGGATTAAAATTAAAGCAAAGGAAAAAAATTATCAGCAAATATTTTACATCTCAAATGTTTAATCTTTATCAGAAAAGTAACTATAGCTGTGAGGTAAATGAAATGGAGAAACAGTCAAGTGAGGTTAAAACAAACTTGACAAGTACATGTACTTTAAATATTGCTCAGTATTTGAGTTGTTGTACTTGCTTCCCACAGCTGGAACGGTGACACAACAATCCTGACAGCGGTTATCACATATACCACAAAGTGGCAGCACAGGACTGCAAAAGTCCCTTTGTTTTGTCAGCTCGGCCCTGTGCTAACACCTAGAGGTCAAAGGCTGGGTGTCCTGCTTGGCTCATCTCATTAGGAGGGATTGTGGAGTAAAACAAACAAACACCAGAATGCTGCTGTAAATCTTTTATACTCGGGGGATAAAATGACGGGCAGACAGAGACAGGTATGCAGTACAAAACAGCATACCTACAATTTAACAAGAATGGAATAAGAGAAACTGATTTGTGTCACTGTGATGTGAGACAGAGGGAAGATGTGTGGATAAATATCGTGTAGAAAAGTCCAGAGCAATGATAGACGGCAGACATGGCAAGACAACGATGGGCAACAAGCAGAGAAGCAGAGAGAGACGAAGTCCACTTATGGGGAGTCTTGGGAAACAGACAGACAGACAGGTGTTTAAACTGTCAAAAAGAGATGGAAACTCTGTGCCAGCCAGCCACTGAGTGAGAGAAGTTGTCTGCTCGGTCACTAACAGTTTAATCTCAGCTCAGTGGGAAGCTCTAATTTCGTCAAACTGAACCCTGGGCCTTATCTAAGTGCCTCTCAGTAGAGAGATAGGATGAGAAAGGGAGAAAGGAAAGCATAAAAGGCAGCAGGAGAAGGATTTGCACACAATGACTCTTTGCCACAGGGGCGAAGTGGTTGAATAAAGCTGGGAAAGACAAAGCCGGCAATAAGCTGGACATATGAGAGACGGAGAGGGGGTTTAAGATCATGCAACAAAAAGGCTATGGCTTCTCCTAGGAGCGTCCCAGAGGACTCAACGGCCTTTTGCTGCTTCATTTCCTTCATTCAGTCTCCCTTCCTGTTTTTACCTCTTCAGCTCACGCTTCTTCTTTACACACACACGCTCACACATGTACAAGCACACACAACCTTCACATCTCTTTTTCTCTGGAGAAACACAAGCTTGTACCTACAAAGCCTCACTGTCTCACAGTTTCATTCCTTCCCGCCGTTTGGCACTCACAGGTCCCCATCCTGTCCCATTTGTTTACTTCACCCTCTCCATAATGCAGGGATTAATTCCTTAAAGCCGATTTGAGCTGTGGCATGCTTCAGCAAAGCGCAAAGAGCAGAAGTTTTTGTACTGGGGGAAGTTTCCCCTTCACACTAGCTTAGAGGTGGACTGCTCTCCCCTTTATGCCACTTTCTTTAATCTTCACACGGAGCAGAGGGAGTGAGGGATAGATGGAGGACAACAAGGGGAGACGGCTCTCAACACCCAGCTGAGAATCACTAATGTCTTTACAAAGGTCTCGTCTGTTCCCCCATGTGCCTCTTGGAATCCTTTTGCAACTTCTGCTACTTCACTGGCCTTTCATCCTCTTACATCTCTGTACTAATTATTTAAATGATTTTTTTCTAAAACAACCTTATAATAAAAGTTTGTTTTATTATAAGGTTGTTTCTTAATTCCCACAGCAAAGGTGTCAAGCTGCAACTAATAAATCTGGCAGTTTCTTACAAATATTGATTTATGTTTTGCTTCACAGCATGTTAGAAAACACTGAAAAATGCTCATTAAAGGCTGCTGTAACCAGAGGTGATGTCTTCAAATTACGTGTTTTGTCCAACTAATTGGCCAAACCCCAAATATATTTAATTTACCATGGTATTAAACAAAGAACTGCAGCTACTTCTCTGATGTAATAATCAGGATCTTAGCCCTAAATTAATTAAATAATCTGAAAGTAATGGCCATTTTCAATAAGTTTGTTGGTATTTTTTCAGTTCAGTGTTTAATCTGTTACACTTAAGAAAAGAGTAAAAATGTTTTGTCTTGCTAATAGACCAAAAACAACCTATCAAAGCTGAGGCTAAGTGGTGCAACTCCACTGCACATATTTTGCATTTTTCTTTGATAAACGACTATAAAGTGTTAATAAGACATCTCATTTTCCTTTTCTCTCTGAGAGATTTAATATTCGGAAGGTTAATTCTTTAATTATTCTAATCTAAACCTGCCACTTCATGCATTACTTAAACCTAGCAGCTTCGTATCTAGTGTATTTCAATTTTACCCAGTTACCTGAAGACCTTAAACAGTGATGGATTTTGGATGGTAGGTTCTGCATTTGGCATTTTCAGACATTTTGCTTCAATCTTTTGGACGAATCCCCGCCCATCACTGTGTCTCAGTCTCATTTACTGTGAATAAACACGCAAATCTGATTGAAGGTTTACGCTCAACCTGTGAGAAGCCTGATAAAACCTCAACTAACACAAACCCCCTTTGCCATTGAGGAGTTACTGTGGGATATGATGTTTGCATACTAAGACATCACGCTCAAACTAACAGCATTTATTATATTATACCCCAAGGGAATAGGAAGCAGGTAGCAGTTGATTAGGCCTGCTAGTTGGTTCATTTAGCATGCGTGCAGATGGCTCATGACCCAGAGCAGGCAGGAGTCAAGTGTCAAGGCTATTAGGCTTTCGTAATTCATATTATGTAGATTAGAAACATCCAGCAATGTGTTTTTAGAGCTATATTGTTGACATTTTTAATGTATGTCCCTCCTGCAGTAGTCTGCCTGCTAGAATGTTTAACTGTTTGCAGTAACATTTCTTTCAAGCCACATGTGCACTGCAGATAGTCTTATTCACAGAAACTTGAGCATTACATAAATAAGTCTATATATGTTTTCTTCATCACACTGCATCTTGAATGCTATTGTAGAAACCTGCAATGAGCCTCCAATAATGAATCATCTAGTGTTACTGCAGTGCAAGTTCAGATGCTGCTTAGCTGAGGTGTACTAAGAAGCATCTGAAGGAGGTGATGTTTGACTGTGTGGGAGGGTTAAACAGCTCCAGCCAGGGATGGCTCAGAGCTGAAACTCATTAAATCTCACACCTCCAATCCTCAACTCCAATAAGAGTGTAATATAAAAAGTATGGATCGGTTCTGCGTATGCGTATGAGAAATAAAAAGATCTCATTCTGAAATGTATGCCCATGGAGCATCAACACACTTCCAGAACATCTGCACACATGTAATATGCACGAACACACACTGACCCACGTAAGCAGGCCAAAAGCATGCAGCAGCACTCTCCCTTCTACACTCCCACACAGTTGCCCACAGCAGTTCCACGCAATTTGCATATACAGTAATTTCCCATACACTCAGTGCTGGTCCAAAGGTGGGCACTGGGCAATAAAAGCAGTAAGTAATATACCTTCAGTTCCACAGAGAGACCTAATCATTTCATATGGTAGAGGAGAGAGGATGTAAGAGAAAACCATGGGCCACATAGGTGGAGAATGGTGCATTGACCTTGTAACACATAGGTAGTAAGTACAATAGGTCCAGGTGGCTTTAAGGTTAGAGAAATGAGTAAGATTGCTTTTCATTTTGTTTGCACCAGAGAGGACAGATAGATAATTGGGAGAGTTTTACACTGAGTCCCCAGCTTTACTGTTGAGCTGCTCAGTGCAGCCACCTTGTAGCATAACAGGGACTAATTCTTAAAATATTGATCCATACCACTACTGTGGTCCAAAACCCCACAGGGTGCCTTTAAGAAAGACCAACACATTAATACGATTCTGTGCATGAGACTGAAAGACCAGAATGTATAGTAACTAGTGGTTCTACGAAAATTGTAGATGGACAAACATACATGAAAATAATTGCAATTGTCATTCAGTTCAAGCTACTGGATATAAGACAATATTTTAATCCCAATTAAATGTTGATTTCTGCCTCCGTACATTTAAATGTTCAAAAATACATTTCCGAAATTGAACGTTTATAGCCTGTGAGATTAAAACCTTTTAGAAATGGTGGTAAACATAGGAGTAACAATCTCTGAATTCAGGGAATTAAGTTTTCACAGAATTAGCGTGTCCATTGCCTTTAACACCTGTACGTTTTGAGGTGGGACCAGCACATTCTGGAGATGCTTGACTAGATTGAGATGTGGGGAGTTTGGAGGCAAAGGCAACACCTTGAACCACTGACTGCTCCTCAGACCGTTCCTGAACAATTTTTGCTGAGTGGCAGGGAGCATCTTCCCACTGAAAGAGGCCACTGCCCTCAGAGAAATACGATTGCCATGGAGGGGTGTAATTGGTCCACAACAATGTTTCAGTAGGTGGTGCGTGTCAAAGTAACACCCAGATGAATGGCAGGACCCAAGGTTTCCCAGCACTACCTCCGCCAGCTTGCCATCTCCCTGTGGTGCTTCCTGGTGCCATCTCTTCCCCAGGCAAGCGACACACGCACCCAGCTATTCTTGTGATGTACAAGAAAACGTGATTCACAAGACCAGGCCGCCTTCTTCCATTGCTCCACAGTCCAGTTCTGATGCTCACATACCTGTTGTGGGCGCTTTTGGTGGTGTACAGGGGTCAACATGGGCAGTCTGACCGGTCTGTGGCTTCACAGCACCATATGTCATAAGCTGTGGCGCACCGTGTACTCTGACACCTGCACCAGCACAAAACATTTGCTTGTATTGGAGATTTTTTAATAACACATTTCAATATTATAACAGCCATCAGATTTTCTTCTAACAGGTAAAAATCATCAAAAACTAACCAAAAAAAAAAAAAAAGAAATCCAGGTTTATATTCCAAACACCAAAGTTTTTTTTTAGCTATGGCCCTAAATTAAAACAACTCAAACCCTTACACAGTGAGCAGATATTATATTCAACACATTGTTCTTCAAACAAATTATAAAAATAGATTTAGCATTTTCAAATACATATTTACAGTATTAAACATGTAACGGTCACAGTAACAGGGATAGAGAGTGGAAACAACTTCATTCATCACGGTGACGAGGTTCAGTTTGTGTGTTGTGACTGCTTGTCTGTGTCTGTAGCCAGGTTCGTGTGTGTCAGGGACTGTCCTCGTTTCTTCAAGATATGTTCAACTTTGAGTGATAACATCTGTAAGGACGCATGAGATTGTTTAATTTGACAAAACGGTTACAGAGAGAGGAGAGTACAAGGATACAGAACAAAAAATCATTTTGTACCAAATACAAAGCAGTTATATTTTAGTCAAAAATGTGTCCTTTATATTGTGAAATGGTTTGAGAATCAGATAACGCTCCAGTAAACGTCTTGTTTCACATATCCCAAATTGAAATCAGAGGGGCAGGTCACTGTACAGAGAGAATTCTGGGAGCAAACAGGCAAAAAGTGCAACCACACAGTGTGGTAGAGCATCATATTAACAGCAACATAAAATTAAACATGAAAATCCAACAGCAACAAAGGAAAAAAAATTAACATTCTTTAATACTGTATCCATATTGCAACACACTGTAATTTATACAGCATATCCAATAATAATGGACCCGCAATTAACTGTAGCAAATCCAGTGTTAAAGCATACACAGATACTGTGTGCTGACAGTAGAATCCTCCAATGTTCCTCTCACATCCTGTGAACAAAACAACTACTCTGTTCAGATTTAAACCACAGTCATAAGTAATAGAACAGAAACGAAACATGAAAACCACTGTTTTATTTTTAAATACTATATGTTAAATAAACCCTCCTAAACCTTTCTTTTGAAGAGGTTTGTGCTACAGTGTTTAAACATAAATAAATACGGATAAATATCTGAGTCAGGCTATCTTCCAGAGCTGGCCTGAGTTCTATACAGGTTATTAAAGTTGGTAGTGAGAGAGCCTTTGGAGAGGAGGATTACGTTACCAAGACCCAGCAGGCTAAAGGGAATATGAGATGCACAAAGAAAACAACCGGAGAGCATAGAAGAGAAGAAATAGATTAAGGGAATAAGAAAATATGTGTAACAAATGAATGAACAATCAAACACACTTTCAACCCTTTGCTTTACAATTTGCATTTGTTTCACAATCAGTAGCCCCAAAGCAAAAAAAAAAAAAAAAAAAAAAGCAGGCTGATATTCCTGTAAATACAGTATATCATCACCCACAACTCAGAGTACCTCCTTTCCTATACTGGTCATAGGACTGTACTGTTTGCTGGCCCCATTTGTCTAGCCTTTATTTTTTTGAGCACTCACACAACTCTTCCAACCTCAGACTTACTGGACCATAGACTTGGGACAGCACAGTCTTCTTAAGCTGCAGCCAGGTTTAATCTTCAAAAATGTTCCATCTGATGAGATCAGCTCAGACGTACAGTGATATGATTTTGTATCCTTGTAGTAAATCGTGTTAAATTCGATATGGAAACAGCTTTGCCAGTTCTGACCAGAGTAAAATTGTTCCTGCCTTTAATGATATATCGTTTTTGGTGAATGGATGTTGTAGTAAAGGGAAATTTCACACAAAATGTATATGTCTCTTTGAGCTCCAAGCCATGACTTGTGTGTTTGCAGCATAGTACATCTTTGCTTCTCCCACAGCTCAGGTCAGCCTCAGACTGAACCCATCCAGTTAGAGACAATATTTCATTTGTATTTGAGCACTGGTCCAGAACCAGTGAAATGGAGCTGACACGTTATTGAAGGTAAAAGTGCAGATAGAGGTCATAAAAGTCACATGACATCACCCCGCTGCTATCCCTCCTTCGTGAATGGAACAATGTTTATCTCCAAGGGGATTTGTAGAAAAAAGGAAGGAAGGAATCAAGGAACGCATGAGGAAGTGCGAGAAGGAGGAGTGAAGAGGAGTACACTTATCTGAAAGATCCGCTCGCCTTTCCTGCAGTCTGGAAGAGCTCTCTCTCTTTCTCCTCTTCTCGATCGCATCATCCGTCTGCACATAGTGAACGTGGGGGTCTGCAGCAGCAGTATGAGACTGAACTGTTTGCTAGACCTGCACACCACGGCCGTGCATTTGGATGACCTGGGCTCTGAGGGTCTGGATAGCAGTCAGTATCAGCTTCTGGTGCTCCAGGGAAGTAATGCCAAGGCTCAGTACATCTCTGTGGATACAGATCAAGGTTTAACAAGATTGGTAGGAAGGATGTGAAATTTTTCAATAACAATTTCCTAAAGCCCAAGGTGATGTTTTGAAATTGCCTGTTTTCCCTGTTAGGGCAGAAACACACCAAGCCAACATGAAAGAACTAACAGCAACGCAGGCTGACTGTTGTGTCGCCTCACATTGCGTTTGTCTGGGCCAATCAGGTTGAAAAATTGGCTCTTGAACACACTGCACAAACTACAGCGAATGTCCAACTAGTACGTATGTTCTGCACCTGTGTGAGAGATATAACTCCCACTGCCAGCAGGTGGTAGTATCTGTATTCGCCATTAAGAAAGGGAAAGAAGAAGACCTAGACAGCAGAAATACAAGCTGTAAACAAAGGAGCTCTTATTCAACACAACTGCTGTTTAAAACTGCTTCTAATCAAGAACATGTCTGATAAGAAGATGAAAATGACACTGCCGTTCTCTGCCCTCGGTCTTTCGGTTGTGGAAGAAGAAAGGAGGTTGTGGAGGCGAAAATCAAGAATAAACTGCATTAAAATCATGGATACTACAGCAACAGGCTGAAGGCACTTTCCTAAACATTTCTCTTCTCGTGCATTGATTCACTAAGCTGAACAGCCAATCAGAGTGGTCTCTCTCTCCAACGAGGCCCAACACTAATTCAACATGCTGAATTGGCCAGAAATCTGCCGAGAGGGTCCAGCTAGTGCCAACGGTGTGGGACACACCATGAAGACAAGGGCAACACATGCTCACTGACATCCAACCATTGGCTTGGTGTGTCATGGGCCTTAATATTCACTTTTTACACAAGACAAAAAAGCAGTAAATCCTCAGTTGAAAAGCTGGAACCAGAGAATATTTCTGATATTTACAAAATTTTTTACACAGTACTTTTTTAGGTGTGTAAATCTAATAGTCAAAGGTTAAAAGAGCAATTCATCAATTCATGCAGCTATCGCCTCAATGATCTGTTCAGACTTTCTCACTCAGCCACCTGCTTTAAAACAGGAAATGAAAGGTCACAGAGACAGTGTTGTATAAAACTACTCACTGTACAGTCATTCGTGCCACTGACTCCAAGTAACAGTATCCTGCAGCAGTGAAGTTGTCCTTGTATCGGCCCATGTCCACTGCATCCAGCCACTCTCCTACTGAGTTAAAGGATGGGAACGAGGGAAGAGGCCTTTCTGCTAGGGCGATGGATGAACTCAGGGTCCTAGAGAAGATGAAATGGAGGAGAATACTCAGAAACAGATCATATTTGGAAATGAATGTGCACAGCAGTTAATTTACTGAGCCTGTAGTATATCACCTGACCATACCTGCGTGCCAGTGTGGAGGAACCGATGCCATCAGGAGAACGAATGCTCTTGCTGAGGGCTGAGTGGATCTGACTGAAGCTGGGCCTCTCTGTCCTCTCCTTCTGCCAGCAGTCCAGCATCAACTGATGGAGATGTGGAGGGCAGTTAACTGGAGCTGGCAGCCTGAAACCATCCTCGATGGCCTTTATCACCTACACGCAGAAACAGCAAATCAATAATATCAGGTTAGACATGTTGCACTTGAAATTTTCCAGTAGTTATACTATAATTGGATACATTTCCAAAGAGTTTGTGACTAGTGGGACAGGATGAGGGAAGAAAGTAAGAATGTAGAAAAGTTTTGTTCTACTTTAAAAAGTTATACATTGTAGTTGCTTAGTTTCCAAGTATAGAAACCTTTGGACAGTACAGGTTCTACTTGTATAAATAAGAGTGGAAAAGTGCTGGTGCTTTCATTTTCTCTTGTCACCAACTGCATCACCCGCAATGGTCCATTGCATGTTTTCAGATTTATAAGCCAGCGTTCCTCTACAGTCGCTTTACAAGCTGACACCAACTCCAGAACAAACAAATTCATGGAGATATTATTAACCTGAAAGATACAAGCTGAATGCAAATCTGCAGTAACTAAAGCTAAAACCTTGTAGCAAATAGCTAATTATTATCCGAGAGGGAAAAAATTAATTATTCTTACAAAAATGAACCAATGCAAAACCTTTCATGACTGGCTACTTTGTCTGTGGGTTCAAAACTGACAACAGGATATTCAGTGTCATTTCATAGGATATCACAGTAGCAGGGTCTTGTCCACAAATAACTGTATTATAATATTTTAATTTCCTATAATGCAAATATTGTAGCCCTGTGAATAAAAAAAAATGACCCTGACAGGTTTAAAATAGAAGAACCATCTCATTAAACAGATCATAAAAGCTATTACTTTCTTAAATGCTTCAGTGATACCTGACCTACTCTGGAAGATAAACATTTGAATAAAACTGGCGTCTCATCGCTGCTCAGTATTTTTCATCCAGTCCTGTGAAACCTAAGTCTCCAAATAGCAGAGCTTGTAAGCATCCCTGCAGACTTCCTCAAAGGTCCTTACTCCTCCACCAAACTGTCTTCCCCCCTTTGATATCCATTCGCTGTGACACCTCAAAAGAGATTTCTTCTCAAAATATCTGGGGACATGAAATATACCTTCCTCCTAAATCACTAAGAAATACAATCTTCTGAGAGGAAGAAATAAAGTCAGAGTATAATCACAAAAATGACATTCATCAGCAGCATTATTTCCAGAAACACATTATTTGCCAACCTGCCCACCTGGTGCCCCACTCCACCATCCTCTCAGCCTCTTAAGCTCCTATCTCACTAAAGAGCATTCATAAAATGCTTTTCAGCATTTGACATTTTCCATTTAATCAAAGCTGTTAGGTAAAGGGCACAACGGATCACAGGTGGACAGGCCAGCCAACAAATCCGTTGTGATATAATGTATCAATTTAAAGTGGATTAATATCCCTGGCGCACCACAAGTTTGACCTTTGCCCTCTCAATTGGAAAGTTTTTATAATATGAACCAGGATGAGAGGAAACTTTCTTCTGCTTTGGGAAAGGCCACTGAAAAAAGGGACACTAAAAAGCTTGCTATTCTTGTGCCTGCTGAATAACTCATCCATATTAATTTACTAATCCTCCACTATGCACCTGCCTGCAGTGCAGGCACTGTTTTCTGATTAGATTTATTTGAGAGAGCATTAGCATCATGACGTTTTTGGATTTGATGAAAGATAATAACTCAATAAAAGTGATTACTATCTTTGGTAATACTTCAAGTGAAAGAAAAAGAAAAGGTCTCTCTTGCCTCTTTCTTAGACCATGCTTTCAACTGCACTTTAGAGGCTTGACTTTGTTCAAGAAACAGGGTAAAAACAACCCTTTTTGAAGGACAAAGATGCAGGAGTGATGTCAGAAAAGCAGAGAGCCCACCCACACTGACTTGGAAATCATAGGTTGCAGCTGTCAAGTGGCAGGGTCCTATCAACTGGACATTTCCTGCAGCTCCCAAATAGCAAACATTTTACATTTTCTGAAAGAAAATGAATTTTTCCAGAGGGATTTTCATCACTTTTAAGAGCAGGATGGCACTCAGGTAGAGGCCACTAGAAGGGGGTCAATGCATCCTTAAGAGAAAACAGGATTGGTCATGGAGCTGAAGCAGGCTTAAAGAGGGGGACTTAGGCCCTGCAAAAGCTTTCAGAGGTACTGCGGCTTCTGTTAATAAGATCCAAGGGGTATGGATATAGAGTTTATTGATAAAGGGACTCATAGGGGGTTGGAAAAGCTCAGGGAGCAATACAGAAAATAAAAGCATTAGGTGGAGAGATTAATGGAAAGCATCCTTATATGCCTCTGTCTCCACCTACATCCTGGTTGCCCATATCCCAGTAGGGTCTCTCTCCGTAGGACATGACCTCCCACATGACGATACCAAAGCTCCAGACATCGGAGGCTGAGGAGAAGCGATGATACTGGATGGCCTCCGGAGCAGTCCAGAGCACCACACTTTTCCCTCCGTGCTAGTGGAGAGAACAGGATGATGTAAGACATGGAGTTAAAGGGTGTGGAGAGTTCACAAAGAGTGAAAACTTTAATATTCTCCTTCAAAATCTTTGAACATCTTTTTAGCAGATCAAAAGAATCTTTAAAGGAGTGGGGTCACCTTGAGGAGAACCCAAACATTTACAGGAAAATAAAGCAATGAGCTCTTGTTTTTTTCTTAAAAGCTTAGTTATACAACCTTAACTGAACTTTACATGACCTGCGTCAAATGATCCAAGGCTCATTAAAAATATCATTACCACATGATTTGTGCCCCTTTGAGAGCCATCACTTAAAGCAGACATACAAACGCTAACATTCAGTAAAGCTCACATCCTGGCTACAGCGTACACCGGTCACCACGGTTTTCTCTTACCGATGTGGTGTAGACAGCCTCTATCTTGTCCTCCTGAAGAGGTCTAAAGCCCGACACCTTGCAGCTGAGGTTGGCATTAACCATCACCTGAGATTAGGAGAATAAACCGATTATCATTGGTTGTATGTGGAAAGGAAACAGCCTCAGTATGAGAGCTCACCACCCTGCCGGGCAAAGCTCTTATCACGCCAGGGACAATTGATTGTTTGCAACAACAAATGATCCTGTCCTTTATTTTTTTGCACTTTGACAGACGGGCGCTTTTAGGTAAAACTCACACAGTGAAACCTGGAGGTAACAAAACAATTTTGACAGCACTGTCTCATTGTTTTCAGCTTCGTGTATTCCTCAAATAAAAACCTACCTGTGAGTAATTGTCAAAGATGTCTGCAGACAAGGACAAATTGTATTCTGTAACCCACCTGTGAATACTTGTAACAGCCAGAGACATACATCACCCTGCAGCCTCTCCTCTATCATCTCTTCCCACCTGCTCCCTTACCTTGTGTGCAGCCAGCCGTTTGTGGACGAAGCCCATTTCAGTGAGGTACTTCATCCCGGATGCCACTCCGGTCAACATATCTATCAGCTGCATGACACTCAACTGGCCTTCATGTTTCTGAGATTATCAGAGGAAATGAAGAGCAGGTGGAGAACCAGAGGGCGGGGGGGGGGAAACAACATGCATTGGGCGAGGTTCAGAGAAGAAAGAGGAGAATACGAGAATACAGAGGGGAGGAAAAAAGTCGGGTCAGTGTGCAGAATACAGTGATCCAAAGAAAAGGCAGCACATCTGTTACTTTAGTACAATGTTGTGCTCACTGAGCTGAATCTTTTCATTTGCAGGATAAAAACAAACAGGCCATTAATTCATATCATTATAAAGCACGCAGCAGTGGTTTGCAGAGCAGAGGGGCACAATAACAGTTTACAGAGGCTTACAGCATTTCTGAGTAGAAACACTTCATTTGTGTTGTTAATTATGTTACAGTTTCCTTATTACTGTAATGAGCACAAGTACTGCTGCCCCAGGACTGTCTCATAATAGTTGTGTTATGATTATTAGACAAAATGCCTAGTTTGTGAATGCAGAACATAATGATTCTTTTTTGGTACAATGAGAAAACATATCTGTAATTTAAGACAATTTAAGATGAATTTTAAATAAAAAAAAAAAAGCACACAGAAAAAAACGTACCCTAAGAAAGGAATCTAGGGCTCCGTTAGACATGCTCTCCACTATGATCATCATGGTGTTACCTGGAGAAAGACACAGAGTAAGGCTGCATGAGAATGTGAAATTGTGGGAATCAAGGGAAGAAAGAAAGTGAGACAGGTAATAGAGACAGAGGGGGGTGGAAGGAGAGAATAAAGTGAGTCTAGACCACTTGGCAGCACAACAGGCACTGTGCAAAGCCATTCTTCACCCAGTGAACTGCAGTGAAGCTGGGAGAACCTGTGTGCTGCCCAGGCTGTTTCAGCAAGTTTATCGACCATCAAACACTCACTCACGCAACCAATCTGTGTACAACATTACACACAGACCAGGAGACGTGCACGGTCATACTGTATACACTACACATGGGACAGATGTATGCATGCACACAAACACATACACACTGTAAGCCCACGTACAGATGGCAGGGATCCAGCAGTGTTATGAAGTGTGTGGAGGAGTGGATTATGGAAGGTTTAGTTAGTAAGATAAAGCCTGATGGATATGTATACAACCTGATACCAAGAAATACATATCCTATGATTTGGAAGATAGGCTATCAGTCCTGACAGTTTGTGCAGGCATATTGTGAAAAAGGATAACTTGGCACTGTAATATGCACAATTCATGGTTTTCCAGTATTTCTGGGCTTTCAGGAAACTATTTGGAAAGGCCACCAACACTTGGGAACTATGTGTCTGCACAGAGAAACTGCCATCATATCACTGTCTTCATGCAATTAATACCAAGTTGGAGAGTGAATCTGAGGTTGAACTGTGCGTTGGTGAGTTGCACAGGGCTGAAATGACAGCTACAAGCAGCTACAAACAAGGACCTAGTTCAAGGAATTTATCATTTATGTGTTGTGGTTGCCTGCTAGAAACATACTGTAATTTATAGGATGTTGCATACAAAACCTGACAGCAACGCAGAGAGATGGAGGTAAAACCGAGTGTGCGACAGAGAGTGGAGGGAGCAATAAGTGCCGTCTGCTGTGTCACATAAACATAAATTCCCACAGTCATACACACCTGTAAGTCACAATTTGAATACAAATCACTGAACTTCATTGTACTCTGCTGTTTCAAACTGTGTGTGACAAAACTGCCACTTTTATGGACCCAGATTGTCAGAGTAGCTAATGAAAAATGAAATATCTTGTTGGGGGATAAAAAAAAAAAAGATATTTTCTTGTAGGAACAGAAATGGAGGAAAAACATTACCAGAGCCAGTCATACTTGGTAAAGCTGCCAAAGGCCTGGGGCGAAATGGGTTCTCAAGACAAAATGTAAGGTAGAAATCTACAAAATGGAGAGCTGATCAACTTAGTTCAGTTTCGTCGGGGTATTCTTTCTGACCGAATTGGTGATGGTGCTTTCACTGTAGGAACATGCCTCTATTTCACATTTCTGTACTGTACAATGTAAATAAATGTAATTTGGGTCATTTTAGTTTACTAATCTGATCAAATATACTGTAGCTCCTGCACCGATCTTTATTACTTTGCACCAAAATACAATAGAAACCACAGCAGACTCAGCAGAAAACTTAATTTGGCTGCCTAGCTTTCTGTGTCTTTCTGACCTGAGGTGTGGCAATTGAAAATACTTCCTGAAACGATACTCCCGGTACAGTAGGTAACAAATCACCTTATTGCATTTCCTATAATCTAATTTCCTGTAATCCTGGAGCTGCCAGTAAGAAGGTGGAGTAAACGGTGGGTCTTAAAAGAAAAGAGCATGTAGTAATAGAAAGGAAAGGAGGAAGTCTTCCTAGTTAATGGGACACAGGCTTGTGTTCCCGTGGCCTTGAATTATGGTTGGAAGCATGGAAAGATTAGTAAGGAGGTGGGTGCTGTTTGCAGGTGGGATAGAAGAGGAGGCTGAGTGAGGGCTTGGGGGGGGAGTGATGTAAATCAGGTGATTCACAGTCTAACAGTATGTGTGTCTTCTCTTTGTGTGCACAGATGTGTGATTTCATGCCAAGTGAGGAAGTAAGCAAGCAGGTGGGGGTGTGTGTCGGTGATAGTGAAAGAGAAAGTGAACATATGGGACCGCCTTTGTACGTGTGTTAAGGAGCATGCACGTGAGTTGTTTGTACATTATGTGTGTGTGTGGGTGATGGTGGGAGAGGCTGGAGTAGATCTCAGGGTCCCGCTGGGTCTCTAGCACCAATTACTGTATCCTGCACATTTGCTGCCATCCTACTGAGCGCAGAGTATTTGGGCACGGTGTGCCCCCCCAACACTCGCACACACATACATACATACAAACACAAACACACACTAAGCATCACTGCGGCAGTAACAAAAACTTCACAAACTCTTTAAAGCTTCTCCTTCACCTGCCATTCCCATTAACCTCTACGTCATCTTCTCTGTCTCTTTCCTTCAGGTTTTTTTTATCTTGCTCCTCCTTCCATCCAGTTTTCACTCTAGG